GTGAGTGAGTGAGTGAGTGAGTACGTGAGTGCGTGGGTGAGTGAGTGAGTGGGTGAGTGAGTGCGTGGGTGGGTGAGTGAGTGAGTGCGTGGGTGGGTGCGTGAGTGAGTGCGTGGGTGAGTGAGTGCGTGCGTACGTGCGTGCGTGCGTGCAAGGGGTATGATGAAGGTATGGTTGAGTATCTAGACCTGAAGAAGAAAGATCTCTTGAAGTCCATCAAAAAGAAGCATGGATCGTTTGCAGACTTCTATTACAGAATGCTCCGCCTTGCAAAGCCGGGGACTGCCCGTTTGCGAAGCTCCTCGCAGTAAGATGGCATAGGTTGATTCCTGGCTGCCAATACGCAGCAGACGCACTTTCTGCTGAGAAATGCAGGCTCCAAAGTGAAGCTCCCAGTCTTCATTGTCAAGAAAGGGGTTGGACGGAAGATCAAAAGAGCCAATCATTGGTGCGTTGCAGCAGGGCGTTCACTTTCCTAACCCTACGATCGATCGAGCAGAGGTATGTTGCAACAGTCCTGAGGTATAGATCAAAGATGGAGATGGCTTTGGCGACAGTGGTGAAGCATCAGACGAGGAAGGTTACGATCCAACAGCACCAGACCTTCTTGCGGAGGGGTACCCAAGTTCTTTGGAGCCTACTCCAGAAGAAAACGAAATTATCGTATGATGCAACATCACCCATTGCAGCAAGAGCAGGAATTAGTATAGGTAAGTTACCTTTTGTCCAGAAGAGTGATGGGTCGTGTCTTGCTCCTCTTCCACCAAATGCCAGACTTGAGGAATATGTTGAACAAGAGATTCTGGACAATGTGACTAGCAACAAACCATCAGCATTCCAAGTTTTGGCCTACGGGTGTAACAGACCCAGACTCTGCAGGCAACAAAAAGAGAGGTCTTGATCTGAAAGCCTTTATCGATCGAACCTAGGGACAATTGTGTCGGCAGATAGTATAGCAAGGACGAGGCCGCGAAGTCGATGGGCTACGAAGAAGCGCCACTTATTCTCCAACAGCATGAGTCAGAAAAATTGCTTGAGGTCAAAGACATACCGGGAATGAGAGCTCCAATGAGCCTCTCAACCACGTCGAAATTTGTAGCAGGTACCCTATCAAGAGCGGCATTTTGGCCTGTGAGGATCCTAGGCTTTATATCCCCTGCAGCGACAGGGCGCGCAAAGGCTGCCCGTGCAAAGTCTCGCTGGCAGATTCTCGTAAAGACGACATCCAGGATGGTGAGCCTAGGGCTGGACTTTAGCTCCTGGAGTGTCGGCCAAGCCAGGGCTGCATGGGGGAAAGGGTATGACTTTGTGAATATGTTTACCTGCCAGGCAGAACCCATTGAGCACCACGTGTACAAGAATGCGACAATAGTTTCTGGTCCACCAAACTTCTTGCAAGCCTCTCATCCATATTTTGACGGCTTTCCACAAGGCATTCACCTTGGTCAGGACTCCGCGCTATAGGCTTTGGAACAATCCTGACCAGCGCTCAACTTGCCGCCGACCCGACTTCTGAAGTACTTTGCCCAGCGACGCATGCCAGTATAGACGATAGTGATGTCGCATTCTCTGTCTCCCCTGAAGCAAACCCAGGTGATGTAACATCATCCTTCTGCAAGCGCACAGAAGAAAATTTGCTGTCAACTGTGGACGAAGGGAAATCAGGAGCTGGCGAAGAATCAGGGATAATGATAAGCAAAATTGAGCATCAGTCGTTGACGGTTGACGAGGTGTACAAAGAGTTTTCAGCCACAGATTTATCTTTGGGCTCAGATCAGGAGTCTGGCTTTGGGATATTCAATTCTTGCTGAGGCTTAGCGTCGGCGTTCCTTGCCTCACAAGCAACTCCCACACTGGCCCACATAGCAAGCTATCTGTGGTTTCGGAATGTATTTCAAGCTTGTTTCAAAGTTTCTGGTATCTGGTACACGGTCAAAGACCAAGGGTTCACTTCAATGAGGGACATTATGAGGGCAGCATCAACTCCAAGTGCATTGAAAGGGCCTGGACTCTACAATGACAACATTGCCCATGCTGCTTCTACACCGGACTGTGTGTTTGCATTTGTTGAGTGAGTGAGTGAGTGAGTGAGTGAGTGAGTG